GTGGCGGGGGGGCCTTCTGCCCGTACCCTGGCTGGCCCCAGCCCCCCGCCTTTCTGTGGGTGGGAGGCCTCAGGCTGGCTTTCACTATGGGTAGGAGGTGCCAGTTGAGGGATGGCACTGAGAGCTGGCTGTGAATTGGTGCCCCCAGAATAGTTCTGAGCACAGGGCAAGTCTGGTGAGTGACCAGTGTGCCCGTGAGTGCCACACACCTGGTGGCTGCATTCCCAGCACCCTAGTGGCTACATCTTGTGGCTGTCCAGGTGGCCTTACCCCATTGCCCTGGAGGGTGCATGTTGTCATGGCCGAGCGGGACTACTGAGTGACTGACCCTGCTGTGCGCCCACAGGCGGACCTACGTGGGCGCTATGCCCGGGAAAATCATCCAGTGTCTGAAGAAGACCAAGACGGAGAACCCCCTGATCCTCATCGACGAGGTGCGTGTGGAGCGGGCGCCCTGTCGCTCTCCCTGGGCCCCGCCTGGTGCCGAGCCTTCCTAACCCAGAGCCTGCAGCGGCCCTGACCAGGCAAAGCTGGGTACAAGATGAAGCCCGGAGTCCTCCGGGTCCCAGGATCCCCAAGTCACCTCGGGCCGTCACCATGATGCTGGCCCTGATGGCACGGCTGGGCAACTCCCGCCCACAGCCATGCCCAGCAAGCTGCCCGTCCAAGGCCCAGGGTGTGGGTGCTGCTCTGACTGACTCCGGGTATCCCCAGCCCTGACCCTGGGGTCTCCACACTGGGCGGGCTGGTGAGGGGCACGGTGTGGCCAGCACCACCTGTCATCTGCCACCCCAGGTGGACAAGATCGGCCGGGGCTACCAGGGGGACCCTTCATCAGCGCTGCTGGAGCTGCTGGACCCAGAGCAGAACGCCAACTTCCTGGACCACTACCTGGATGTGCCTGTGGACTTGTCCAAGGTGGGGGCCCGGCCTGGGGCCTGGGCTGGGGGGAAGGTGACAGGCCAGTTCCCTAGGACCTTGCTGCTGCCCCCAGGTGCTATTCATCTGCACGGCCAATGTCACGGACACCATCCCTGAGCCACTGCGGGACCGCATGGAGATGATCAACGTATCCGGCTACGTGGCCCAGGAGAAGCTGGCCATCGCAGAGGTAGGCCAGCCCCTCCCCACTGCTGTCCCCATCCCTGGAGCAGGGGCTGACCCCCAGAGCCTGTGCCTCTAGGAGCTCCCGTGCCTGGTAGAGACCGGCAGGACCTGCGGCCAGGAGGAGTAGATGAGGCCGAGGTGGACACCTGGGAACGTCTGCTGGGCTAGGCGGGCTGCCTCCAGCTTTAGAGCCCAGGACAGTCCCACACACTGTCTGGGGATTGGTGGCTCACCACCGTCAGGCCACACGGCTGTCAGCTCTCAGCGCGTACACACTTGGTCTCCCTGTGCTTCTTAGAAGCCAAGTCTGTGTTCAGTCCAGGGAGGACCCTGCCCCACCTCAGGCCCAGACTGTAGGGAAGGTTTCTGGCAGCCTGGAAGCAGTGTGACCTGAGGTTCCCACGCAGAACAAGACTTGGAGGAGGAGGGGTTTCACTGAGGAGCGTGCGGGGTCCATTCCTGTGGGGGTGGAGGGCTCCTGTATTTCTGATGTTTTCTTTCTGGGAAGCGGGAGAATGCATTTTTCCCCAGGAGCCCTTTGACAACCTGTGCTGGGCACTGGTCCCGGCCCTCAGGGCCTTCCCAGCTTTCCGTGTCCCCTGGGGGCTTCCGGGCCCACTGCTGGGCCCAGATCCCAGCCTGACTTCCCAAGGGGCAGGCCTGTAGTTTGTGGAGAAAAGAGGGGAGGGGCATGCATGGGGACCCCTCAGAGCACCAGGAGTGCCCCCCAGCATCAGGGGCAGCTGTAGAGTGGTATGCAGGGCTCTGTCCTTGTCTCACAGACGCTCCCCCTGCTGCCAGAGCTCAGAACTGTGGCAAGAATTCTGTGGGTCTGCAGCTGACCTTGGAGCTCCCCCGCCACCCCCGCAACCCAGTCCCCTTCCTCATGTGCTGAGGGCAGCTGCCACCTAATCAGTGAGCTACCGTACAGGCCCTGGGTCTATGTATGGGGCCAGCCCAGGGGCAACCAGGAGGCCTTCCTGACAGAAGTGGCATCTAAGATGCCATTGGGGGATAGGACGTGGATTCAAGCAGAGGACACAGCACAAAGCGCCTCTGGTGGCAGAGCCAGGTGTCCCAGGTCCTGGTTTCACCATCAGGGACCTGTGCCATGCCAGGGTCTGGGGCCCATGCAAGAGGCATTGGCTCCTGTCGAGGGTCCCCAGGTTCTAGACTGGGCTGGTGGTCAAGGTCCCTCCAGACCCTGCTGTGACGGCCAGCTGCCCCTACAGCGTTACCTGGTGCCCCAGGCCCGCGCCCTATGTGGCCTGGACGAGAGCAAGGCCAAGCTGTCGTCGGACGTGCTGACGCTGCTCATCAAGCAGTACTGCCGCGAGAGCGGCGTCCGCAACCTGCAGAAGCAGGTGGAGAAGGTGAGCGTCCACCCTGCCTCCTCGCACCTGCCCGCCCAGCGCACCTGCCCGGGCCCATCATGCTGCCTTGCCCACCCAGGTGTTACGGAAGTCGGCCTACAAGATTGTCAGCGGCGAGGCTGAGTCCGTGGAGGTGACGCCCGAGAACCTGCAGGACTTTGTGGGGAAGCCCATGTTCACCGTGGAACGCATGTATGACGTGACGCCGCCCGGAGTGGTCATGGGGCTGGCCTGGACAGCCATGGGTGAGTGTCGTGGCGGGAGGAGACCCCAAACCGATCCCATTTCTACCCGAGAAGCAGGTCCCACCTTGTGCAGGGGTGCATTTGGAGTGCTTCTGGCTGGGGGTAGTGTGGGGAGCCCAGGGCACTCTAGGGCTGACAGAGCGGAAGGCTGTGAGCACAAGGGCGGCCGGCACACCATGGGCCTCAGGGATTTGGGGGATACCTTGATAGGCTTACAGGTGGGGACAACAGGTTCCTCAGCATGAGCTTATCCAGACACGGGCCCTGGGGCCGCCACACAAAGTTGGTGAGCGGGCAGGGGGGCGGTGTGGGAGGGGCTTGTGTCTGGGCAGGGCAGCTAGGGTCCTTGTGGCCCTGGGCATGTTCTATGGCTGGCAGCTGCGCTGTGGGGCCGGCAGAGCCAGGAACCTGCCACCCAGCAAACATGGAGGCCTTTGTTGGCTCATGGTGGGACAGCCCCTGCCCAGAGGTGCCAAGATGCTGAGCTGGGGCAGGAGCAGGCAGGGTGCTGGGGGTGGAGTGGGCCCGGGCCCCGAGGCCTCCCCTGTTCACAGCTCCGCACCTGTTCCAGGAGGCTCCACGTTATTTGTGGAGACGTCCCTGAGGCGACCACGGGACAAGGATGCCAAGGGTGAAAAGGACGGCAGCCTGGAGGTGACAGGCCAGCTAGGGGAGGTGATGAAGGAGAGCGCCCGCATCGCCTACACCTTTGCCAGGGCCTTCCTCATGCAGCATGCCCCTGACAACGAGTACCTGGTGACCTCACACATCCACCTGCATGTGCCTGAGGTGACTGCACCACCCACCCCCACCCAGCATCTGGGCAGCTGGCCACCTGCTCACCCACTTCCCCCATACCCCCCCGCAGGGTGCCACCCCCAAGGACGGCCCAAGCGCAGGCTGCACCATCGTCACGGCCCTGCTGTCCCTGGCCATGGGCAGGCCCGTCCGGCAGAACCTGGCCATGACTGGCGAGGTCTCCCTCACAGGCAAGATCCTGCCTGTTGGCGGCATCAAGGAGAAGACCATCGCGGTGAGCACACGGGTCGGCACCACCCGGCGGGCTGGGCACTCAGGGAAGTTGTACCCAGGCCCACGTGGCCTGGAGCTGACCGCCCTAGCTGTCTCCTCCACATCAAGTCTTGGGGTGAACATTCTAGAGCCCACTGGCTTTCCCAGTAGGGTTTGGACTGGGGAACAGGGCTCCTGCTTCCTGTGGCAGCAGGCTGCACTGAGGGAAGGCTGGACATGGCTTTGCTCCCAGCCCTGTGTGTCCTCAGACCAACCTGCTGTGTGTCTAGGAAGCCTGCTGGGGTCATTGTGAGGGGATTCCACCAGGAGGGTAGGCATGGTCAAGTGGCTGTGACCACCTGGACCGCAGCCACACACTCCCTAGATCATAAAAGTGGTGGGGGCTGTCCTTGCCACAGTGTGTGCTACAGTGGGAAGTGCTGTCCTCTATGTGATGAGGCCACGGCCCCTGCCTGCCCTCTGGAGGTGAAGCTGTGGGTGGGGCTCATCCAGAGCCTGACACTGCTCCCCCTGCATGGCCAGACTTCCAGGTCACGGGCTAGGGCGGACCTGGCTGAGCTCGCAGGCTTCTGGAGCTGAGGCCAGTGGTTTTGCCTTGAGCCTGTTTCCCCGGGAAATAGGGATCCCAGTGGCTGTCAGGAGCCACTGCTCTGAGCTGCCATCCCTGTGTTCCCGGTCCCCACACAGCCCTTCCCTTCCTGGAGGACGCACACCTGCGGCCCTCCTCCAGGTCAGGCAGGGCTGATCCTGACTCTGCCCCCAGGCCAAGCGCGCAGGGGTGACGTGCATCGTCCTACCAGCCGAGAACAAGAAGGACTTCTGCGACCTGGCAGGCTTCATCACCGAGGGCCTGGAGGTGCACTTCGTGGAGCACTACCACCAGATCTTCGACATCGCCTTCCCGGAGGAGCAGGCAGAGGCACTGGCCGTGGAGCGGTGACAGTCACCCCGGGACTGCAGGCGACAGATGTCAGGCCCTGCCTGGGCCCCAACAGAGCCCTTCGGGGAGTGCAGCAGGGCCTGGCAGCGGAGCCACCGAGCAAGCAGCTCGCTCCAGCGGTCCAGATCCCAGGGACCCCCCAGTTGGTTTAATCAGTGTGGGCATAGGAACTATTTAATCATTAAAGTCAGTTCTGGTATGGGGCCTCCTTGCCTTCTGCCCCAGGAAGGTGGGGTGGGCGGGCCAGGGCACCAAGATGCTTGAAGGACCTCCCCTACCCCAGGACAGCAGCAGAGCCAGGGCTTGGGTGCAGCTGTTTATTTCAGGGAGACAGCAGGGAAGGGGGCTCAGTCCTTCTTGGCAGCAGCTTTCCTCATGGCGGCCAGGACATTGCTCAGCTCCTCCCGCTTCCTCTTGGCCCGGATGTGTGTCCCCACCTGCCAGGGACAGGGTCGCTGTCAGCCCACCTGCAACTCCCACCTCGCCCCTCCACCAGCAGTGCCCACCTACCCTTTTCTTGATGAACTTGAGGGCCCGTTTGTCCTTGGAGACCTTCAGCAACTCCATGGCGCGCCGCTCGTATGGGGCAAAGCCACACACTTCCCGGATCATGTCCCGCACGAACTTGGTGTGTTTGGTCAGACGCTGGGGGTGGGGGCAAGAGCCGGCCGTTAGGGTGGGGGGACCCCTGCATTCTAGGTAAGCAGCTTAATCTCTTACACCGTTACCATTTCCCTGGCCACTCTCCCTGGCGTGGTGGCCTGTCGCCTAGGCCGGGGTGCAGTGCTGCAGTATAGCTTATTGCAGCTTTGACTTCCAGGGCTCAGGTGATCTTCCTGCCTCAGCCTCCTTAGCTGGGACCACAGGCGCATGCCACCATGCCTGGCTCATTTTTTAATTAATACTTGTTTGTGGTTCGGTGCGGTGCGTGACACCTGTAATCCCAGCACTGTGGGAAGCCAAGGCAGGTGGATGACTTGAGGTCAGGAGTTCGAGACCAGCCTGGCCAATATGGTGAAACCCCATCTCTACTAAAAATACAAAAATAAGCATGCCTGTAGTCCCAACTACTCAGGAGGCTGAGGCACAAGAATCGCTTGAACGCAGGGGGTGAGGCTGCAGCAAGCCGAGATCGAACCACTGTACTCCAGCATGGGCACAAGAGCTTCATCTCAAAACAAAACAAAAATTCGTTTGTGGCCAGGCGCAGTGGCTCAGGCCTGTAATCTTGGCACTCTGGGGAGGCCGAGGCGGGGGTTCACTAAGACCAGGAGTTTGAGGCCAGCCTGGCCAACATGGTGAAACTACTAAAAATAAAAAAGCCAGGCGTGGTTACCCGCACCTGTAATCCCAGCTACTGGGGAGGCTGAGGCACAAGAATCGCTGGAACCTGTGGGTAAGCCCCCATGTAGGCACCGAGGAATGAGAGCTAAGCAGAACCCTGGCACAGTTAGTGCTTGAGGAATATCTCACTTTAGAGTGTTACTACTCGACTATTTCCTTCAATATAATCCTTTACACAATCATATTAGTTTATAGAAATAGGGCTTAAAGAATCCCTTTATATAATTCTCTATATGTATTTTTTTTTTTTTTGAGACGGAGTTTCACTCATGTTACCCAGGCTGGAGTGCAATGGCGCGATCTCGGCTCACCGCAACCTCCGCCTCCTGGGTTCAGGCAATTCTCCTGCCTCAGCCTCCTGAGTAGCTGGGATTACAGGCACGCGCCATCATGCCCGGCTAATGTTTTGTATTTTTAGTAGAGACGGGGTTTCACTATGTTGACCAGGATGGTCTCGATCTCTTGACCTCGTGATCCACCCACCTCGGCCTCCCAAAGTGCTGGGATTACAGGCGTGAGCCACCGCGCCCGGCAATATGTAATTATTAATAGTTGAGTGCCTAAAGAATATTTCCCTACATATATATCTTGGGTCATATCGGAGGAATGCCTAGAGTGGACACAGTACAGAGTATGATTTAAGGGATAAGCAGCTTATAATCGGAGGAATGCCTAGAGCAGACACAGTGCAGAGCACGAATTAAGGGCAAAACAGTTATACCAGGACAAGAATCCATGGCCCAGGCGGCAGCGTTCAGTATTGTAAAGATACCCGCTGTATGGCAGGCCTGGGGCGAGAGCCACTCCTCCTGATAAAGGAGTTGTAGGAACTTGCTCCAGTTCTTGTGAAAGGCGCCCTCGGACCGGCAATCCACCTTGGTGACTGAACTTTATCAGCTCTTGCTACTGTGCTGCTTAAAAAGCATCTCCCATAGAACCCATTGGAAGCTGCCAGAAGGCGGCGGTAACCTTGACAGCTCCGTCACTGCTATGTGACTTAAAGCATCCTCCTATAAATCTCAGAAGTAGTTTTCCCATAGACAGAAGTAGCGCACACTGCACCCTCTTCACTGCGCATGGCCCACCTTCAAGCCTCGGTGACCTAATGGGGGTGAACCCCTTACTGCACACGGCCCTTGCCTTCATGGGAAGAGGCCCCTTGCTGCGCACTGTCCACCTCCAGGCCTAGGTGCCCTAATGGGGGTGGACCCCATGTTTTATTGTTCATGACCCTATCACTATCCTTAAAGATAACTTCACTCACTGCCCTGCCCCCTAACCTATACACAATAAATACTCATGCTTCTGGACATTCGGGGCCTCGCCTGACTCCGCTTATAGGTGGCGTGGCCCCCCGAGCCCAGCTGCGTTTTTGATGTACTTCTGTGTCCTGTCTCTATTTCTCGGATCCTGCGCGTCAGCACAGCATAAGGCTCACCCCACAACCCTGTGGGGCACTCAGCCCTACATCTAGCTCCCAACGTGCCCTACGGAACCCAGGTGAGGCTGCAGCAAGCCGAGATCGCACCACTTAACTCCAGCATGGGCACAAGAGCTCCATCTCAAAACAAAAATTCGTTTGTGGCCAGACGCAGTGGCTCAGGCCTGTAATCTTGGCACTTTGGGGAGGCCGAGGCGGGGGTTCACTAAGGCCAGGAGTTTGAGGCCAGCCTGGCCAACATGGTGAAACCTCGTATCTACTAAAAAAAGCCAGGCGTGGTTACCCGCACCTGTAATCCCAGCTACTGGGGAGGCTGAGGCACAAGAATCGCTGGAACCTGGGAGGCGGAGGTCGCAGTGAGCAGAGATCTCTGGGTAGCCTTGAGAACCGAGATATTAACCCTTAGGGCTTTTCTTGTTTTGAGACGGAGTCTCACTCTGTCGTCCAGGCTGGAGTGCAATGGCGTGGGTCTCGGCTCACTGCAGCCTCCGCTTCGCGCGCGCGTCACCATGCCCGGGTAATTTTTTGTATTTTTACTAGAAACGGGGTTTACACCATGTTGGTCAGACTGGTCTCAAACTCCCCAGCTCGTGATCCGCCTGCCCCGGCCTCCCAAAGTGCTGGGATTACAGGCGTCAGCCATCGCGCGCAGAGCATCTCCCACCCTCCCCAAGTCCCAATCTCTGCAACACCTGCAGGACGCACCTGGAGTCGGGGCTGCCCGCTGAATAAAGGAGCCAAATACACTGACACACCTGAAATCACCCAACCTCACACACTGCAGCCTCGGGCCAGCTCCACAAGGGAACTCCTACTCTTGCGTCAAAAACCCCAAACCCACTGTCCCGAGCCGCCCTTAAGTTGCTCCCGGTGCCCCGGCGTGGATTGCACAGGCAGGGAACACCCAGATAAGTGCTCGCCTTCGAGCACCAAGTAGGAACCCCCACTCCCCGACCCCGTCCCTTCCATTCAAACCCCCTTAGCTCCGCGCGCCAACCCGCGTTCTTTCACGCCGACAGCCTCTGCCCAAGCCGTGCCCTCTGCCCTCGAAGAAGCCCCCCGACGACCTCCGCGCGACCCCCTCACTTACCCCGCGGCGGCGGCTGTGCCTGGGCTTGCTCACGTTCTTGGTTACCTTGTGGCCCTTGTTGAGGCCCACGGCCATAGGATACCGAAGAGCCATGGCTGTAGACAGTGGCGGGGAGAAGGGACGGAGGTTGAGTTCCGATTCGGTTCCCGAGGTCCAGAACCCAGCGCCCAGCTCCCTTCAGCCTCGCTTGCCACAACCGACCATCCTCCAACCCGCACAGAGAACCCGGGAGTACGGATGGCGGCAGATCCCCGCAGTGCATGAACCCACTCACCTGCTACTCTCCAATGGCGACCGTGGCGGAAGGGCTAGCGCCGCGCTGAACTCTGGGATATCTACTAGGCTAAGGATGCGCGGGCCAGAGAGGCAGGAACCGCGCGCACTCCCCCTGGCGGCTGGAGGCGTCCCCGTGGTCTCGCTCAGCCGGCGCGACCGGGCTCTCTGAGCATGCGCAATTACTCCTTCGAGCCTGCGAGCTGAAGTCGGAACCAGGGGGCGTGGCTATAGCTGCCCTCCTCCCTCTGCCTGTGACATGGGTTCGAATCCCAACTCCGCCGATTGCTGACCGACCCTGCATCAACGGCTTCACCTCATAGACTTTCTTCACTTGTAGAACGAAAAGAATATTACCAAACTGTTTGAACTGTTAAAATGGTCATTAGAGTATAGGTTTCATTATCTATCAACTGGTCAGCATCTAGATTAGGTATGAATACGGCAAGGCATAATAGTGCCCCTTGGGGACATCTGATGTAATTTCACAAGATGCAGGGACGGGACGCTAATTAACTGAATCAGATGGCAGAAAACATACAAGTTTCCAATTTTTCTCCGTTAATGCTACTAATATACAAGAGTGAGTCTCAATTTAGGGCTGCTCTAATTGGGGTTAGCACTTTCATGTTTTTTCCAGACAGGGTCTTGCTCTGTCGCCCAAGATAGAGTGCAGTGCTGCAATCATAGCTTACTGCAGCCTTGACTTCCAGGGCTCAAGTGATCCTCCTGCCTCAGCCTCCTTAGCTGGGACCACAGGCCCATGCCACCATGCCTCGCTAATTTTTTAATTAAAATATTTGTTTGTGGCCGGATGCAGTGGCTGACACCTGTAATCCCAGCACTTTGGGACGCCGAGGTGGGGAGATCACCTAAGACCAGAGTTCCAGACCACCCTGGACAACATGGTGAAACCCTATCTCTACTAAAAATACAAAATGCCAGGCGCGGTGGCCCGCACTTGTAATCCCAGCTACTCGAGAGGCTGACTCACAAGAGTTGCTTGATCCCAGAGGCGGAGATTGCAGTGAGCCTAGATCACACTACTGCACTCCAGCCTGGACCTAGACTCCGTCTAAAAAAATTTTTAAAATACGTAAAGGCAGGGTTTCACCATGTTTGCCAGGCTGGTCTCAAACTCATGACCTCAAGTGATCCGCTTGCCTTGGCCTCCCAAAGTGATGATATTATAAACGTTAGCCACCGCACCTGGCCTCTCAGCCTCCATTTCTCCACCTGTGAAATGGGATTGAGAGTCCAAGCCCCTAGTACACACACCGCTCTCGCTGTCCGCCGTCTGCCAGCAAATTGAAATTACCAAGGAATCTGAACAACAGATATGCAAGGGAAGAAGCATTTTTATTCTCAAACGGAAGACTGGGTCCAGCCCAAAACACACACTTTCCCTCCTCCTCCCTCTTAGGCCCCGCCACCAGGTACACGGACAGTGCAGACATCCCTGCAGGTGTGAAGAGTCCCAGAGCCCCCAGCTGGGGGAAGCCGGCAGGTGTCCGGAGGAGGGGATCCTCCCAGATGGAATGAATGAGTGCAAAGAATAAATCGGCGACGAAGAGGCGCAGGCAGGTAATGGAGTGGGGTCCATGGCTGGCTCAAGGGTGGTGTGACCTCTCTGAGCCTATTTTTTCATCTGTAAAATGGAAGCAGTCATGTCATCCATCACGTCCAAACTGGTGAGGCGACACAAGTCCGGGACAAGGCGCCTAACACAGAGCGCCTGCGCCTCCGAAGCTATGATTGGTTCCAGGCGCCCGTCGTTTTTCCGGGTTTTGCTTTTCTGTCTTGATGAATTTATCTTGGGCTGTGGCCACCCTCTCAGGGGTGTCCATTGTGAGTGTCCTGGCTCCAGGGACAGTTGGAGGGAGGAGCGTTCCCGTCCGGGACGTGGAGGGGTACCCCTCGGTGCTCAGGCGGCAGCCGCGGCCGTGACGTTGAGCTCCTGGCGGATGAACCAGGCCCGCGGGCGCGGCAGCCAGCGCCGGAGCAAGCACAGCAGGTGGAAACGCCACGGGTAGAAGACGCCGGCCGCGCGCGTGGCGCCGCCGCGGATCACGGCCAGGGCCGCCTTGGGCCCCGGGGCCGCCTTGACCCTCGTGACTCCCCTGGGGACGGGAGGGCGCGGTGGGGGCTGCAGCTGGGGCGGGGCAGCCGCCCGTGGCCCCCAGCCCAGCCCCCGGCTCGCCCGGGCCTCACCTGACTGCCTCGGCGGCGGAGGCGCGATCTCGGAGGCCCAGGACGCACATGGTGATGGCCACGTTCACGTCCTGCACGTCCAGCTCCCGCCGCAGGGAGCCGAAGAAGCCGTCCAGCGCGAACTTGGCCGCCGAGTACGGGGTGGAGAACGACGCGGGCACGCGGCCTGGGGGTGCGGACGGCGGCGGCTGAGCGGCTCCCTCTCCTCCGGGAAGCCTGCCCAGGCCCTCCAGGCTCACCCGCATCGAGCTCCCCACTCCCCGTCCCGCAGAGCCGGGGCCGAGCGCACGCACCGAGCAGCGACGACACCACCACCAGCGAGCCCTTGCTGTCCGTGAGGCTGGGCAACGCCCGCGACGTCAGTTGCACGTAGCTCAGAAAGTTGACCTGCAGGCGGCACTCGCGAGTCACCGACGCAGGGGGAGCCCGGGGGCAGGGCGGGGCCAAAAGCCGGGGCGGGGCCCTAGGACGGGGCCAGAAACCCGGAAGGCGGGGCCATCAACAGGGGGCGTGGTCAAGGCCGGGCGGGCCTAGAAATTCGGAGGGCGGGGGCCATTAACTGGGGGCGTGGTCAAGGCCGGGCGGGGCCAAGGCCGGGGCGGGGTCCAAGGACCCGGCTAGAAACCCGGAGGGCATGGTCCGACGGCGGGGTCAATGCCAGGACGGACCTAGAATCCCGGAGGGCAGGACGGGGCCTTGGTCTGGGAGGGTAGTGGCCGGGGCGGGAAGGGCTGAGGGCCAGCCCGGGAGGAGGCAGAGGCCCGGTCGTGAAGGGAGCGGAGCTTGAAGAGAGGGCGGTGGAGCACCGGTCTCTGAGATCGAGGGCTGGGCCCGGGCCGCGGAGGGGCGGAGCACCTGCATGAGCCAGCGCGTTGCCTGGGCGCTGCGGGCCCGCGTGCCGGCCGGGGCGCCGCCGATGTGGTTCAGCACGAGGTAATCCAGCCCGCCTGGCCCAGAAACACCGGTCAGCCCCGGAGGCCCCTCCCCTGGGGCACAACCAAACCCCACCCCCGATCTTAGCTCCGCCCACAGCGCGGACACAGTGAGCTCCGCCCCAGGGAATGCCCCCTACGATCAAAGACACCCAGCCCTGAGCCTTATTCTCTGAATCTAGCCAAGTTTCGTCCCCATTCAATGAGGCTCCGTTTGGAGCTCTTCCCCGACGATGCAATGAGGCTCCGCCCTCCCCCCACCTCGTCCCCAGTCCCGGGATACGTCTCCACCCTGAGACACCTGTTACTGTAGCCACACCCACACCCCAATTCTAATCCTGTCCCTAAGGCCCAGGCCACGGTCCCGGACTGCAGACTCCAGGCCTAGCCCCTCACCCAGCTTGTCCAGCGCAAACTGCACCACGCTGTCGGGCGCCTCAGGGGAGGCCATGTCCGCTGCGATGTAGAAGACCTTGGGGGCGCCCAGCTTCCGGCAGTTCCCTACCACCTGGGGGGGGCCAGAGCTGCCCGTGGGCCTCTCCTCTCCAGCTGCCCCCCCACCTGCCGGCCATAGGGAGGCCGCCGCCTGAAAACCCCTCCCCTACTCTGAGCCTCTGGCCCCATTCAACATCTTTCCCAAAGATTTACTACTGTGGGAGGTGGGGAGGCTCAAAGTGGAGGCCCGCGGGCCAGAATGTTGGCCGATTCATCAATCACCAAAATCTAAAACAGGACATTTCACCTACAATTTCCAGATTTCTAGCTTCTCTTGAAAATTCGAAAGGTTTGTGTCCAAGAGCCATACCCTGCCCTGAAGTAGGAATGGGCTGCTGGATGCCCAGAAGTGCCCATATTCCCTTTGGAGTTTGAGAATCCCGACTCTCAATACAGGCTCGGACACGCAATACTCTCACTTGCTGAGGAATGCACCGCTTTCTAGTCAACCATCTCACTGCATTGGTGCAGCATCCTAACCCATGAAAAGGTGGGAGTTTGTTGGTTTGTTTAAGACAGAATGTCACTTTGTTGCCCAGGCTGGAGTGCAGTGGCGCGATCTCAGCTCACTGCAACCTCCACCTCCCGGGTTCAAGTGATTCTCCTACCTCAGCCTCCCAAGTAGCTGGGATTACAGGCATGAGCCACCATGACCGGGTAATTTTTTTGTTTGTTTTTGAGATGGAGTCTTGCTGTGTCACCCAGGCTGGAGTGCAGTGGTGCAATCTCGGCTCACTGCAACCTCTGCCTCCTGGGTTCAATCAGTTCTTCTGCCTCAGCCTCCCAAGTAGCTGGGGTTACAGGTGCGTGCCACCATGCCCAGCTTTTTTTTTTTCTTTTGTATTTTCAGTAGAGGTAGGGTTTTACCATGTTGGCCAGGCTGGTTGACAACTCCTGACCACACGTGATCTGCCCACCTCGGCCTCCCAAAGTGCTAGGATTATGGGCGTCAGCCAGTGCACCCTGCCTAATTTTTGTATTTTTAGTAGAGACAGGGTTTCATCATGTTGTCCAGGCTAGTCTTGAACTCCTGACTTCAGGCGATCCACTTGCCTCGGCCTTCCAAAGTGCTGGGACTATAGGCATGAGCCACCATGCCTGGACAGAGGGTGGTTTCATTGTCCCGTTTAGAAAATGAGGAAACCGAGAGGCCTAGAGAGGCTAGGCGACTTGCCCAGGGTCACACAGGAAGCCAGGCTCTCTTCCCTGTCCCCACACAAACCTCCAGCATTCGTCGAGACATGGGGTGGCTCACCTTCTGCAGGAAGGCCTCGGTGTGGGCAGTGAGCACCAGGTGGGAGCCCAGGCGCGCGTAGTGATAGGCCAGCTCCTCACCGACACCAGCGTTGGCCCCTGTCAGCAGCACTCGGGCTCCCTGGAGACTGGCTGGCCAGAGTCCGGGTGGTCACTCTGGGCAGAGGACAGGACAGCCGGCCCGGTTTCTCCCTCCATAAACCCCAGGGACTCACCTGGGTCAAAGTTGTCATCCCAATAATAGGCGAAGAACAGGGCCCCCAGCCCTGTGAGGAGAAGCACCTTCATGGTCCTCCGTGGGCCTGCAGAGGACAGGGGACAGAGGTGGCCGGCAGAGGCCAGGCCCACAGCCACCCCCGTTTGATGGGCGTTTGGTGATGCCACCACCTTGGATCCATCCCCTCCTCTCCACTCCAGAGCCACCACCCGTCCAGGCCACCATGCTGGCTCCATGAACTGTCACACCTGCACCCTCACTGTCCTGCCTTCTCAGCCTTCGTTTTCCCTACGCCTTGCCTCCCCTGGACCGCAATCCTTCCTGTCCCAGTTAGAATAAAATCCAGACTCCTGGCCGGGCGCGGCGGGACATGCCTGCGATCCTAACATTTGGGAGGCCGAGGTGGGCAGATCATGAAGTCAAGAGATCAAGACCATCCTGGCCAACGTGGTGAAACCCTGTCTCTACAAAAAATCAGCTGGGCCGGGCGCGGTGGCTCAAGCCTGTAATCCCAGCACTTTGGGAGGCCGAGGCGGGTGGATCACGAGGTCAAGAGATCGAGACCATCCTGGTCAACATGGTGAAACCCCGTCTCTACTAAAAATGCAAAACATTAGCTGGGCATGGTGGCGCGTGCCTGTAATCCCAGCTACTGGGGAGGCTGAGACAGGAGAATCACGTGAACCTAGGAGGCAGAGGTTGCAGTGAGCCGAGATCGCATCACTGCACTCCAGCCCCTAGTGACAGAGAAAGACTCTGTCTCAGGAAAAAAAAAAAAAAAAAAAAAAAAAACAAACACACACAAAACACACACCCAAAAAAACCAGACTCTTTGGTGGCCACAAACGTTCTGCATAGACCTATCCTCCATGCTCACTCTGCTCCACTAAAATAGTCAATCCCTATTCCTCAAAACCAGCCAGTCACCATCCTGCGAAGGCAAGGGCTGTTCCTACTGCCTAGAATGCTGTTCCCGGATATAACCCAATGGTTTGCTCTCTCACTTCTTTCAAGTCTCAGTGCAAAAGTGACCTCCTTCAGCTGGGCGAGATGCCTCACACGTGGAATACCAGCACTTTGGGAGGCTCAGGCAGGCGGATCTCTTGAGATCAGGAGTTCGAGACCAGCCTGGTCAACATGGTGAAACCCCATTTCTACTAAAAATACAAAAATTAACTGGTCATGGTAGCAGGTGCCTGTAACCGCAGCTACTCACGGGGCTGAGGCGGGAGAATCACTTGACCTCGGGAGGCGGAGGTTGCAGTGAGCCAAGATTGCACCACTACACTCCAGCCTGGGCAACAAAGCAAGACTCCATCTCAAAAAAAAAAAAAAAAAAAAAATTAGGCCGGGTGCGGGTGGCTTATGCCTGTAATCCCAGCACTTTGGGAGGCCAAGGCGGGTGGATCACATGATCAGGAGTTCAAGACCAGCCTGGCCAAGATGGTGAAAGCTCACTTCTACTAAAAAAAAAAAAAAAATTAGCTGGGTGTGATGACAGGCGTCTGAAATCCCAGCTACTCAGGAGGCTGAGGCAGGAGGATCGTTTGAACCCTAGAGGTGGAGGTTGCAATGAGCCGAGATCATGCCACTGCACTCCAGCCTGGACAACAGAGCTAGACATCTCAAAAACAAAACAAAACAAAACAAAAAGGCCGGGCGCGGTGGCTCAAGCCTGTAATCCCAGCACTTTGGGAGGCCGAGGCGGGTGGATCACGAGGTCAAGAGATCAAGACCATCCTGGTCAACATGGTGAAACCCCGTCTCTACTAAAAATACAAAAAATTAGCTGGGCATGGTGGCGCATGCCTGTAATCCCAGCTACTCAGGAGGCTGAGGCGGGAGAATTGCCTGAACCCAGGAGACGGAGGTTGCGGTGAGCCGAGATCGCGCCATTGCACTCCAGCCTGGGCAACAAGAGCGAAACTCCGTCTCAAAAAAAAAAAAAAAAAAAAAAAAAAAAAACAGAGATCAAGACCATTCTAGCCAACATGGTGAACCCCCATCTCTTCTAAAAATACAAAAAATAGCCGGGCATGGTGGTGGGTGCCTATAGTCCCAGCGACTAGGGAGGCTGAGGCGGAAGAATTGCTTGAACCAGGGAGGCCAAGGTTGCAGTGAGCTGAGATTTCACCACTGTGCTCCAGCCTCAAGACAGAGCAAGGCTCCGTCTCTCTCTTTTTTTTTTTTTGTTAAGACTCAGTCTCAAAAATAAAAAAAAAAAAAAAAAGAAAAAAGGCTGGGTGTGGTGGCTCAGGCCTGTAATCTCAGCACTTTGGGAGGCCAAGGCGGTGGATCACCTGAGGTCAGGAGTTTGAGACACCCCGTCTCTACTTAAAATATAAAAACTTAGCCGGGATTGGTGGCAGTTGCCTGTAATCCCAGCTACTCAGGAGGCTGAGGCAGGAGAATCTCTTGAACCTGGGAGGAAGATGTTACAGTGAGCCAAGGTCATGCCACTGCACTCCAGCCTGGGCAACAAGAGCAAAACTCCATCTCAAAAAAAAAAAAAAAGTGACCTCCTCCGAGAGAGGGCCTCATTTTCTTTTCTTTTTCTTTTTTTTTTTTTGAGACGGGCTCTCTCATTGAAGAGTCCCTAAATCTTCCATCTCCATGTCCAGCCCTAGGTTCTCTGCCTCTGCTATCCACCTGACCACCTCCAGGCCCCTTGGAGCCAGCAGGATCCAAGCCAGGCTCAGCATGTAGCCCCATACCTGCTTCTCTTCCCAGCTCACCGTGATGGAAAGGGCCCCACTGTCCCCTGTCCCTGAATGGGAGACCCAGGCATTGTCCTCACGCCCTTCCATCCTTTCACCCCATGACCTCATGTTTTCAGATCTTATCAGTTCTCCCTCTGCAATCTCTCCCCAACTGTCCCTTCCTAACTCTCTGCAGGGCTCCCACATTGTCACCTCCCTCCTAGACCCTTCCCCCGGCCTGACCATCCCCATCTTCTTTCCCCTGGCCTCCCTCCCACCTCCCATTTGGTCTCCTCTACCACACTGGCTTCCACATCTCCACACTCACTCTCTCCCTGCCTCTCCTGTCCGTGTAGCCAAAGGCACCTGTATCAAAAGTGACATAGCCACAGCCTTCCTGCTCCAAACCCTCTCAGGGGTCTCCACTGCAACTGATGGAAACCAGGCTCCTCTGCAGCCCATGAGGCCCTGCAGGTATGGCCCCTGACTACCTGTCTATCCTCCTTTCCATCTATGAATCATTCACTTCTCAAAGGCATGAACTCCTCAGCTTCGCCAGACACACAGTCATGCCCACAGCAAGAAACGAGCTTCCACCTTTTCCCCTTCCAGGGACAGTCCATGAAGTCCCTCTGCTCATCCCTCTTTCCACCCCCAGCTCCACACTGACTGCAGCAGCCCGGCAGGGGGAAGTGAGGCTGGATGGACAGACGGATGGACGGATGAGTGGATGGGCAGATAGAAGGAGGGACGGTGCATGGGTGGAAAAATGGATGAGGGGATGGATGTATAATGAATTTGGGAAACAGATGGATGAATGGATGGGTCGATGGAAGGATGGGTGGATGGATGGGGGAGCAGATGGATGGATTGATGGGTGGATGGATGTGCAGACAGTTGGATGAACGGATGCGTGGATGGATGGGGAGACAGATGATGAATGGAAGCGTGGATGGATAGATGGAAGGATGGGTGGGTGGGTGGTCAGATGGATAGACGGCTGGATGAGGGGAGCAGATGGATGAATGGATGAGGGAGCAGATGGATGAACGGATGCGTGGACGGATGGGGAGACCGATGAACGGAAGTGTGGATGCATAGATGGATGGGTGGGTGGATGGCCAGATGGATAGATGGATGGGTGAGGGGACAGATGGATAGATGGAAGGATGGACGTATGGACGGATGGATGGGCAGATGAACGGTTGAAGCAGCCTGGCCGAGATGCAGGAGGAATCGGGGCGGCGGGCGGCGGGGAGGGACAAATCCCTGCAGAACCCACCGGCCTCTTCTAGACCTCGGCGGGCCTTAGCTTCCCCTCTGAACAAAGGGGGCGTGTGACCTGCTGCGCAGCCCTAAACTGCGTACTTACCCACTCAGGCCTCAGTTTCCCCCACTGTCCAGCGGGGTTGGGGTCCCAGCCTGGGAACCACGCGAACGTCCCACGATGCTCTCTTCCCGGCCGCCTGCTGCCGGGTCCCTAACCGCGCCCCCTCCCGTAGGGCCCGGGTCACCTGACTCCAAGCCCACCTCCTCCCGGGGAGGGGCCGGGCCGCGGGGACCCAGCGCCGGAGCGTCGCCGGGCAACAGTCCCCGCCTGGTCTCCACCTCCCAGTCGCGGCCCCGCCCCCTGGGCGGAATCCCCGCCCCCGAATCCATCACATGACGGGACCGCCGCTGTCGAACAATCCCGCCCTCGCGTTGCCGTGACAACCACCTTTTATGGGCACTCTTTCTAGGTCCCGGTTCTTAGTCCCCCGCGCGGGCGCGGGCGGATCTCTCGGGCTCCGACTTCTCCGGTCACCTTCAGGCTTCAGTCCAGGCACCCGACGCCTCGTTACCCTCACGCTGGTAGGGCCGGGTTAGGCCGGGCCGGACTACATTTTCCAGGAGGCTCCGCGGCCAGGCGCAAACAGCGCGGTGCTAACTACATTTCCCAGGCAGCCTTGCAGCGGCCCGGGCGCTGAAGCGTCCATTTCCCAGCGGCCCTTTGCGGCGGGACCGTAGCCCTTCTCTGGAGTCTCAGCGCCCTAAGAGACTACCACTCCCAGGGGACTCTGCGTCGCACAAGAAAGACTACGCCTCCCAGAGGTCTCTGCGGCGTCGCGACCGGAAGCGGCGGGCGAGTCGAGTGTCCTTGCGCGTGAAGCAGAGCGACTATGGTGGCCCGGGTGTGGTCGCTGATGAGGTGCGTGGGGCCCCCGGATGGGACCCGAGTCCCCGAAAAAGTCCCTTTTTGTGGGCACCCCTGTCTCCAGCCTGCTTGCGATCTGCTCGTCGCTTCCTGTAGAGTTACCTCCCTTTCCTCCCCAGCCTATGGGCCAGATAGGGAAACTGAGGCTCCAGCGGGGTGGGGCTTCCCGAGGTCGCCAATCCCTTCCCTCTTGCCTCCCAGCGAGCCCTTCCCGTTCCGCTCACGGTGTCTGCCTCCGCCTCCGAGCCTCAGTTGTCTTCTCTGTGAAGTGACAATGCCCGGCGAATCCTGCCGCTGGCGTGGATGGGAGGTGAATGCGTGCTCGGAGCGAGTGACCGCAGGCAGGAGGCGTCCAGGGACACTTGGTTTCTCCAGGGCTGGAAGGCTCTGGAAAGTCAAGGATCTTTTTCACTGCCCCTGCTCACTATGGGACCCACTCTCCCGCTCTGGGTTTCAGTTTACCGATTAAAGTGGCATCCAGCTGCCCTGCCTTGCACATTGTGAATCGAGTGCTGTGTATGATAGGGGTCTGGGTCGACGGTGCTACACTACAGAGTGTCACCCTGTGGCCGGTGAGCCCCGGGGAGGGTCTGACTCGCCCCGTGGGCCTAGGCTTCTAAGGGTGGCGGTCAGTGTCCGCTAACCTTCTGCTCCTCACGTCCCTACCCGCAGGTTCCTCATCAAGGGAAGTGTGGCTGGGGGCGCCGTCTACCTGGTGTATGACCAGGAGCTGCTGGGGCCCAGCGACAAGAGCCAGGCAGCCCTAAAGAAGGCTAGGGAGGTGGTTCCCCCGGCCATGTACCAGTTCAGCCAGTACGTGTGTCAGCAGACAGGCCTGCAGATACCCCAGGTACTCCAGACTGGGAGCGAGGCCAGGGCTTGGCAAGTGACCGGCTCTGGGGGTGCCTCCAGCCCTGCATGATCTCCTTCCTGTGTCTCTGGGGCCGGGCTGCTGGGTCTTTTCACCAGTTCTTTCTGCCCATCTCTCTTCCCAGCTCCCAGCTCCTCCAAAGATTCACTTTCCCATCCGTGACTCCTGGAATGCAGGTAGGCACCTGGTTTCTTTGCTTGTGGGGGTTGCTGCAGACACCCCAGTATAGCCCCTCTCCCCATGTCCTGGCCTCTTTTTCTATCCATCCCCCTGCCTGCCCCACACGTGTCTCTTAGGGATCTAAAAGGGAAAGGAGGCTAGGCCTGGTGGCTTATGCCTGTAATCCCAGCATTTTGGGAGCCTGAGGTAGGCGGATCATCTGAAGTCAGGAGTTTGAGACCAGCCTGGGCAACACAGTGAAACTCTGTCTCTACTAAAAATACAAATATTAGCTGGGCGTGGTGGTGGCTGCCTGTAGTGGAGCCAAGATTGCGCCACTGCACTCCAGCCTGAGCAACAGAGCAAGACTCTGTCTCAAATAAATGAATAAAAGGGAAAGGAGTGGGGAGATTCTAGGGAAGGGGTCGAGGGTGGAGCCTTTGAGGACTGGACTGTGGACCGCCTGTTAGAATGGGAGGTGGGAGGCCTGGGCCCACATCCGAACTTGTCCTATGAGCTTGGACAAGGCGAGGCGCTGCCCCTCTGCTGCCTCAGTTTCTGCTGGAAGATGTTCTTCTAAAAAAGACTTGCTTGTTAGGTGTGGTGGCTCATACTTACAGCACTTTTGGGGTCTGAGGCGGAAGGGCTGCTTGAAGCCAGGACTTTGAGAACAACCTGGGCAACATTATGAGACCCTATCTCTTCAAAAAGAAAATCTGCTTTTTTTTTTATCTTTTTTGAGATTAAGTTTTGCTCGTTGCCCAGGCTGGAGTGCAATGATGTGATCTCTGTTCACCGCAACCTCTACTTCCCAGGTTCAAGTGATTCTCCTGCCTCAGCCTCCCAAGTAGCTGGGATTACAGGCATGAGCCACCATGCCTGGCTAATTTTGTATTTTTAGTAGAGACAGGGTTTCTCCATGTTGGTCAGGATGGTCTTGAACTCCTGACCTCATGATCCGCTTGCCTCAGCCTCCCAAAGTGCTGGGATTACAGGCGTGAGCGACTGTGCCTGACCCTTTTTTTTTTCCTTGAAACAGAGTTTTGCTGTTGTTGCCCAGGCTGGAGTGCAGTGTTGAGATCTTGGCTGACTGCAAACCTCCACCTCCTGGGTTCAAGCAATTCTTCTGCCTCAGCCTCCCAAGTGGCTGGGGTACAGGCGCCCGCCACCATGCCTGGCTAATTTTTGTATTTTTTTTTTTTTTTTAAATAGAGACAGGGTTTCAGCATGTTGGTCAGGCTGGTCTTGAACTCCCGACCTCAGGTGATCCACCCACCTTGGCCTCCAAAATGCTTGGATTACAGGTGTGAGCTACTATGCCTGGCCCAAAAATCTTTTTTAATTAGCCAGGCATGGTGGCATGTGCCTGCAGTACCAGCTACTTGGGAGGCTTACGCAGGAGGATTGCTTGAGCACTAGAGTTCAAGGCTTCAGTGAGCTACGATCACACCACCATACCCCAGCCTGGGCGACAGAGGGAGACCCTGTCTCTAAAAAAACCAAAAACCCTAGAGTTTAGCGTTTCCCAGGGGTTGGAGGCTGGGTGAGGCTGGGAGGGGAGTGTCACCAGTGGCCGTCCCTTCCCCACAGGCATCATCACGGTGATGTCAGCTCTGTCAGTGGCCCCCTCTAAGGCCTGCGAGTATTCCAAGGAGGGCTGGGAATACGTGAAGGCGCGCGCCAAGTAGTGAGCCAGTGGGCCGCCCACCCCCGCCAGAACGGACAGGGCTGCCACCGACCTGGAGACTCCAGCCTGGGACCCCACTCCGAGGGCAGCTCCTGGCCTTGCCAGCCCAATAAAGGACTTCGGAAGTGTTTCCTGACCCGTGTGCTGGCCCCCGGGGGGCACAGGGTCGGCCTGCCGGTGCCCAGAGCACCGAGGCCTGGGCTTCTGGCTCCTGATGGCTCATCAGGGCTTGACCTTGACCACAGGTCATGGCTCGCCCTTTGACGTCTGCTCTGGCATCAGAGGTCAGAGCAGGTGCTCCCGGTGCTCCAGGGGCCGTGCTCTGGGGCCGGGAAATTGCTTTGGCCAAGTCTGGCTTGTGGGAGGGGTCTTGGTTTTGGCGGGCTGAGCCCAGGGTGGGACAGTGTAAGAGCCAGAGTGGACAGAAGTGGGGTCTGCTTCCCTGGGGACGCAGGGCAGGGGCCCCTGGGACTGATGGTTCCCGCCCTCCACAGCTCCCATCTGTGGTCCAGTCACCAGCCCTTCCTTGCCCAGTCTCCACCATGATTCCACCCTCTCCCTGACAACCCTGGCAGGGGATTCCTGGCCATCAAAGCAAATCCAGGTGTTTGTTGTGCCATTCAGAGGGCCTCCTGCACGTGCTCTCCCCACTGGGACACCTTCCCTGACACCCCTTCCGCACGCTGGCCGAGCTACCTGGCAGCCTGCATGGGTCTCCAGCATCAGGCATGAGCCCTGGGAGGGCGGGCCTGTCCAGGGGCCCATGAGAGGCTCCCAGCACCCATACACAGAGGGCAGTCCACAGGGTTGGTGATGGAAAGAGGCCTGTGCCCAGAGCAGGGAGCCAGCAAGTGACACTCACCGAGTTGGCACAGGGGCCCCATTCCAACAAGTTCGGGGGCTGATGTTGCTTGGTGTAGGGCCCGAGCTCAGGAGGTGACAGCTGGTCCGAGAAAAGGAGCAGAGACTAGAGGCCGGGGCATTTCCCCCGCTGTCCCATTCAGAGAGGAGAAGCACTGGCCTGAGCAGAACATGGGAGGAGTGTGGCTGAGATCAGAGGCCTCGTCTGGTAGAAGGGGAGCCCACAGGGCCTGCGCCACCCCATTCCCCCCAGGAGCATGGTCCCGGCAGGTCTCGCACATCTGCTGTGTCCCTGCCCTTACTGGGCCTTAGCGGTGGGTCAGGACTAGGGTGAGGGTGGGATGAGCAGGGCAGAGGACCATCCCTGACTCTCGCTGCAGGAGGAAGCTGGTGCTTGCTGTCCTGGCCAGGAGCACCCATACACTGCCCCCCTGACCCCATCCACCAAGCCCTTCCTGAAGACCCAGGAAGGAGCAGGCTTTGGGCCCATTTTACAGATGAAGAAGCTTGCAAAAACAGACAGTTCTGTCTGCCCAGCCTGTCTGGAGCCAGGCTGTTACCACAAACCCTCGCTGGGGATGCAGAATTTCCAATCACCTGGCACGCAGGCACCCAGCCCAGCCTGCAAGGACAGGAGGGGTCTGCCCTGAGCGCTGTGATACCATGGCTGGGCCAGGGGCGTCCGGCCGCTCCAGGAGTCCTCTGCAGCATCAGCCACCCGTCGCCATCACTGTTACAGGGGAAGGACTGGAAAGGCCAGTGAGCAGCCACCCTCTGGGCCCCTTCATCTCCATCCAGGCGGCCAGGTCCTGCAGCTCCATGAGTGTGGCTTCTTCCCGGGGGTCACGGGCTTCATCCCATGAGTCTCTCCTTGCCCATCCACTGGCACCTGTATGTGAGAA